TCCATCAACAAGAGAATGCATAAACAGACTGTGGTCATTCCGTACAATGGAAGCAGCAACGAAAAGGAATGAATCACTGGCACAAGCAACCACGCAGATGAACCTCGAAAACATTATGCGGAGCAGAGAACCCCGCCACGAAAGGGCACATCCTAGATGGTTCCATTTATATGAACTTCTGGGAAAGGCAAAATTAATCTATGGTGACAGACAGCCATCAGCGGTTGCCTGGGGCCAGAGGTGGGGGAGGGGAGGTAACGGAAAAGCAGTAAAAAATGTTCAGTTTCAGCAGGGCTCTCAGAGGCAGGCTCCCATGTAACAAATGAAAGAAGGAGCTGCCCCGTATCCCAAGGAAAGCCATCCCCACTCCTAAATCCCCGGGGCCCTGGACCACGCTCCCCAGCAGTCTTTCTCACCCCGGCTTTGATTTGTGCAAGTGCAAAAGCTGAGAGAAAGAGTTTCCTATCTCAGTTTGCCCTGCTGCGGGCTGAGAGCAGGCCTGAGCTCTGTCGGCCCCAAGGGCAACATCCTTGAGAAGTTCTAAGCTGGAGAGAGCAGGAGATCGCCATGGCAACCTGTCCCAGGCCCAGCCCTGGCAGGGCTCCAAGGCACATAAATAAAGCCGTTGGAATGTGGAGCAGGGCTCAGGGTGGGGTGACTAGAAAGTTGCCAAGTTTCCATGAAAACCAACAATGTGAGGCCTCAGCCCCTGGGAGGTGTCAGTAGGAAAGCTTGGGTCCCAACAGGATCTGCTGGGGACATATAACACATTCATAGATACACACACGCGTGCACACGCACACACACACACACACACCCTGCTTGAAGGACGGCATCCCTGCTTCTTGAAAAAGAAGCCTGTTGAAATGAGAGCCCTGGCTTTAGAGCCTGGCAAACAGCGACTCCAGGGCCTACTGTCGCTTCCTAGTAACCTCAGGCAAGTTTCTGGACTAGTTATCCACACAGCCCCTCCCTCCCCTTCTGCATGTCTTTATACTAAGGTCACCCCCTGGAGACCCTCCCTGATCACTTAAATCAAGTTGCAGCCTCCCCCATGCCACCCCAATGCCACCCAGAACTGCTCTGCTTTATTTTTCTCCATGGCACTTAGCGCCACCCAGCTCAGGATATAGTTGACTCCTTTGCCCTGTCTATAGCCTCATCGATGTTGGCTCCACGAGGGCAGTGGCTTTTCTCTGTTTTGTCCCTGCTCTGTCTCCGTCAGTCCCTGGCACATAGGAGCGCCCAAGGAACATTAGAGAGCATGGACTTCTCTGAATGTCAGTTTTCTCATCAGCAAAATGGGGATAATTCTGCTCCCACAGGGTTAATGTGGAGGTTGAAGGAGTGGGTTTAAGGCTGTGGGTTAGTGCCCAGCCCTCAGCGGGGGCACTAGTGTCATTCACGGTTACAGGCTTCACTTGGTGAGGCGCCATGCAGAACAGGACCCTCAGGACCGCCCTTCAGCACTTCGGCCACATTAAAGAACACCTTTCATGGGATCTTATCCTGCCTCCCTGAGCCCAAGAACTAAACTGCGTCCTGGTTCTCCAAAACCACTAGATACTAAAGACAATGGATTCAATTCGAGAGATTCGGTCCACAGAGGCATTCTCCTGTCTCTAAATATTTATTAAGAGACTGAGTAAAGGAACTAATTCTTAGAAAAGTAAGGTCTTGAAAAATGTGAAGATGATCTGGACAGGCAGGTAATGTTTAACCTGTAAAGGAGAAAACAGGTATTTCTTGCATCCTTACCACGTGACAGGTGGCGTGTTAGACACCTGACATATCTTATGTTGCTTCATCCTTGTTTCATCCTTACAAGGAAGGTATCTAAGAACGAAGAAACTGAAGCCAGAGGTTAGACCACTGACCCGAGACCTCACAGCAGTAAGCAGTGGGCAGGAGTGAACCCAGAAGTGCTAAGTCCAGAACTCTGTGTTCTTCCTGCTGTCCCACCCCGCCTTCTTTGAAATTCATTTGGTAAAAGGCCTCTCTGCTGAGCTGGGGAGTTTGGATAAAGTCTGTAGACAATTCTAAAAATAAAAAAGCGACTGAGTATAAATATATGGGAACCACTAAGCAAGGAGGAATTCTTTCCCCTGAGATAAATCAGAAAAGCTACAGAGGGAAGAGGGGACTGCTTTGGGGACTTATATTTCTGGTGCCTTAACTCATCTTTGCAGAGGCTATCACTGGCTTTTGCTTCCAACAGATGACAACGAATAGTACTTTCTAATCATCTCAGTTTTCCATCTTGCATATTTTCAGCAGGTCCTTCCTTTGGGATCCTTTATTTTTATTTATAGCCCTTTGTGTCATTTCACTGCCAGACTTTAGCATGTTCTGGCAACAGCCACTTTCCCAGGGGCTGGAGCTTCCAGCACTGGAAACCTTTAAGAAGGCAGAGAGCATGGAATTTGGAGCCTGCCTGAACCAACTCCTGTGTTGAGTGACTTCGTGTAGGTAGTTTGAAATTAGCCATGGTATACCTTTTTACACCGCAGAAACTGACTTTTATTTTCCCCTAGAGAGCCAATTGTTAAACATTGCTCCAACACGCAATAGCTGGCTTAGCTATTGTGAAAGAGCAGAAAGAACCCTGGATAGAATTCAGAAAACTTGAGTGTTAGCCTGGTGTCATTACTAACTCACTGTAAACCTTAAACAAGTCATTTCACTTCTCTGGGCAACAATTTCTTTATCTATTAAATGTGGGGGGATTGCTTAGGTTAAAAAACTAGGATCACTAAGCCCTGAGTTATTCCCCCAAAAGAAAACAGCATGGAAGTTCTTCAAGCAATTTTCAATATTAGATAAAAAAATAAAACTATGCGTTCATCCCCTGACAAGCCCAAATAGATTAACTTAATAAATAAACGGTGTTCGGTGATTTAAATCTTTCAAAATCTGAAACCCATGGGGAAAAGATAATAAAAGCAGTCAGCCCTCTGTTCCCTTTAATCCACTGTATTGAGCACCTGAAATGGGGCCATCGCTGCTGCACAGCGATGCTATCGTGCTGACGGAGGCGCGATCCCTGCCCCGGGAGTTTACAGACTAGGGAGGCAGAGAGACAAGCAGGCATGCATGGTAATAAGTGGGATCTGTGTTCCGATAGGGTAAGAGCCAGCCTTTACAAGAGCCTACAGCAGGGCACTCAGTGTTGGGGGAGTCCAGGCTGGCTTCTTGGAAGAAGGGACATCTAATGGGGATTAGAGCCCAGAGGTCAAACACAGTAGGAACATTGGGAAATTGCAGACACTGAGAATAGCTGAAAAGCATGGAAGAAATTGATGCTGGAAAGGCACATAGGGTCTTGTATCAGGTGAGGGAGTGCAGAATTTATCTTTAGAGTACTGGAAAGCCATTGAAACGTGTGCAAACAGGGCAGTAATTTGAGCTTTAGAAAGCTCATTCAGGCTGTTACAGAGAGAACGAACGGAAAAGAAGCAACACTAGAAGCTGGGAGACCACTCCAGAGGCTCTTGCAGCAAAATGAGAGTCTGGTGACCTGGGGTAGAAAGTGAATAGATTAGGGCATTATGATATTATGATTTATAGTAAGAAATACATATTTGGTCTTGGCCCCCGGTCCCTGATACAGGCTGGCTCCTCTGAAATCCTTGTAGATTCCTAAGTTATAAGAACACTAGGACCATCTTTTGTCCTATTGAGGCGGCTCTGAGTGGGGTCCTGGATAGTTCCTGGAAGGGAGCTGGTCACCAGAAAGACCAACCGATGATTAGAAGCTTGGAATTTTCAGCCTTGCCCCCCACCTCTCCAAAGAGAGGTACCAGGAGGGTGACACACCCCAACTCCATGGGGACAGAAGCTCCTGTGCTGGGGACTCTCCCAGACCTCGCCCTGTGTGCCTCTTCATCTGCTGTTCGTCTGTATCCTTTATCATATCCTTTAATAAACTGGTAAACATAAGTGTTTCCCTGAGTTCTGTGAGCTATTCTAGCAAATTAATTAAATCCAAAGGGGAGGAAGTCATGGGAACCTCTGATTTGTAGCCAAGTTGGACAGAAGCTGTGGGTGACCGGAGGACCCACGGCTTTTGCTTGGCATCTGAAGTGGGAGGCAGTCTCATGGGACTGAGCCCTTAACCAATGGGATCTGACACCCTCCCCAGGTAGAGAGTGCCAGAATTGAGTTAAGTTGTAGGACATCCACATGATGTTGCAGAATTGCTTGGTGTGTGGGAAAAAACCCACACATTGGTGACCAGAAGTATCAGAAGTGAAGTGTTCTGTGTGAAAGTAGAGAAGAAAGACACAGGAGGAGAAGTGTAGTTTTATCCAGTACAGGCATGTATTGGTCCCCTGGGGCTGCCGGGACAAAGTCCCACAAATTTGGTGCCTTAGATAACAGAAATGTATTCTCCCGCAGTTCTGAAGACTAGAAGTCCAAAACCAAGGTGTCAGCAAGACCAAGCTCCCTCTGAAGCTCTAGGTGGAAACTTCCTTGCCTCTCCCCAGCTTCTGGTGGCAGCCATCCATCCTTGGAGTCCCTTGACTTGCAGCTGCATCACTCCAATTTCTGCGTCTGTTGTCACATGCTCTTCTCTCTGTCTCTGTCTCTTCACATTGTCTTCTTATGAGGACACCAGTTGTACTGGATTAAGGACCCACCTTGCTCCGTCATAATCTCACCTTAACTAGTTACATCTGCAATGACCCTGTTTCCAAATAAGGTCACATTCTGAGGTTCTAGGGGTTAGGACTTTAACATCTCTTTTTGGGGAACACGATTCAACTTGTAACAGGGAGAGATTTAAGAAATTGAATCAATAAGACTTAGAGAGGCTGGCCCGGTGGTGCAGCGGTTGAGTTCGCGCGTTCTGCTTCTTGGCAGCCTGGGGTCTGCCGGTTTGGATCCCCGGTGCGGACATGTAGGCACCGCTTGGCAAAAGCCATGCTGTGGTAGGTGTCCCACATATAAAGTAGAGGAAGATGGGCATGGATGTTAGCTCAGGGCCAGTCTTCCTCAGCAAAAAGAGGAGGATTGGCAGTAGTTAGCTCAGGGCTAATCTTCCTAAAAAAAAACACACAAAAAAGACTTAGAGATTGATTACATACTTGGGGGAGGGTCAAATAAAGGATAGAAGTTATGTGCTGATTTCTGCGTAGATGGTGGTCAAATGAACTGAGTAGGGAACACAGGAACAGAAGTGCACTTCAGGGGGAAGGTGATGAGTGCCATTTTGTATGTATATCAGCTGCCTTAGGGGCTGCACAGGCTGTGCTGAACAGCCCTGGGGGTTCTTGGACAATCTAAACCTTCAAGATCTTAGCAGACTTCCTTTATTTGCTTCAATTCCATGAATAACCCTTATCAAAAGTTCTTGTCCAGGTAGAGCTAAAGAGCGGCAGAATATGCCACCCCAAAACATGCTACTTTAGCGTAAGGATTATTTTGAACTAAAGATACTTGAAAAACAGCAGGTACAAGAAGGATGCTCTGACCCTCTCCCCTTTTCTTCCTGAAAGCAGGAGATAAAACTCCCATGTGAAAGATGGTCTCCTATACCAGGAGGAAAGATACATTCTTGCCACCAGAGATGGGGCAGTCAAGGCAGAGAGAAATCTATACAAACAGCCTGTGTTAAAATAACTGATCTTCCTTTAGTCTGCCCATGTATTTTAGTTACTTTTCCACAATAGCCTCTCTTTGTTCAACCTAGTATATAAACACTTGGGCCTATCTGCTTTTAGGGTCTTCATTTTCCTACGGGGGTTCCCATGCCCATGTAAAAATCCATATGCATTTTCTCTTGTTAACCTGTCTTGTCAATTTAATTCTCAGGCCCAGCTGGAGATTTTAAGACAATAGAGGTAAAGTTTTGCCTCCCCTACAGAGCCTTTGTGTCTGGAGACCTGCTTTTTTTATTTCTGTATTCTGCTAATCCTTTTCCCAATCTAACGGGCATTGTCTTGAGACAATCCAACATAGTAGATGGCGGAGGGCTGGAGTGGGGAGGGAAATGCCCTAATGCCCTCTTTGCTGGTGGACTTACTCCCTTTAACTGGAAGATAATTCTTGTGGAAAACCCTTTTGAAAGGCCTGACCCTCTTTTGGAGGACGTTGCTAAAAGGGGCAAGAAATCACCAGTACACACCTGCCTTCTCAATTTTTTCTACCGTTTTCTCTAGCTTTGATTGGTGTGCCAACGCCCCAATGTATAGCAGGAAATAGTTTGGCTAAATGCCACTGCAAACAAAGGTCACTAGCTTTCCAGTCTGCAGTGATTGAGACCCCATTAACTATCACTCTGCCTCCTTCACTCAGCCAATTCTATAAATTAGGGTCTGTTATGTCCAGAAACCACCCTAAAATACTAAAATCTACATGCATCAGGGTCCCTAATTGTAAACAATAGACACTGAGTCTGGCTGACATAACAGAAAATAAATCTATTAAAATGATGCCAATAGCCCACAGAATCTGAAGAAATAGCTTCAGAAACTGAAGAAACTGGCTCAAGATTAAGCCTCCAAGAAAAGTATCTAAAACCGAAAACTTGGCCTGATGAAGAAACTGCTGCTTCTGCTGCTGCTACTGCCACCGTGATGCACCAATGTCACCACTGGCCCTTTGACCAGCATCTCCATTTGATTACAACCCCTGCTACAACCAGGAATGCTATCACTTCTGCATCAAGAACCCAACTCAACTTGCAACTACCGCATCCGGGAGGGCGTTCACCTCTGCCACCACGCTTGCCAGGAACGCGGTTTCCACTCCGAGCCTCCTTCCTCAAGTGGCTCCCTTCTGAATCCAAGTTTCACGTGGGTGAGTCTCCTTGATAGAGTATACGTCACAGGCCAGATGCCTGACTACAAAAGAGACTGGAAAACACCCTTCTGGGTTCCACCCCGGGGAAATGGGACTCATGAGGCTGGAAAGTCCCCAAATGGAGCAAAAAGTGTTGAGAAGCCAGAAAGCATAAACTGTCCCCTACATGGTTTATGTGAGGCATTCAGGGGAACAGTCTGGCAGGTGATGAATATGCATATCTATAGTTTGGGAGGGCTCCTTGGGCGAGGGAGTATAGCGATGGTGTTATTGGTTGAACTGTGTCCCCCAGAAACTCATATGTTGAGATCCTAACCTCCAGTACCTCAGAATGTGTCCTTATCTGGAGATAGGTTCTTTCCAGAGGTAATCAAGTTAAAATGAGGTCGTTAGGATAGGCCTTAATCCAATGTGACTAGTGTCTTTATTTTAAAAAGGGAAATTTGGACACAGACATGCGCACAGGGAGAATGCCATGTAAGATGAAGGAAGTCTTTTAAAAGCCAAGGAACGTCATAGATTGCCAACAAACTACCAGAAGTTAGGAGAGAGGGGTGGAGCAGATTTTCCTTCACAGCCCTCAGAAGGAACCAACCCCACTGACACCTTGATCTTAGATTTCTAGTCTCCAGAACTGTGAAACTATAAATTTCTGTTGTTTGAGCCACTTAGTCTGCGATGTTTTGTTATAGCAGCCGTAGGAAACTAATACAGATGGTATATTAAGCCATAGGAGGAGCTAAGCTTGCCTAGGAAGACTGTGTGGATGCAAAAGGGGAGGGCAGGGGAGGGGAGGGAGTGCTAATATCTGGGGGAGACATCGAGGGGAAACCATGTCTTCCATCGTGACAGGGTGCAGATTGTCTGAGACATGATTTCTCAGAAGCAGACCCTGCCTGAGATGAAGACTTCTGTGCAGTGATCTGTTAGGAAGAATTCCCAGGAATAAGTCATAGGGAAGTGGGAAGAGAGAGCAGGAAGAGGAGGAGGCTGAGCAAGAATGCGATGACAACAAAATGCCACGAAGGGCAACTTGACTTGGGCTCACCCCAGAGGGGAGCTTTCACATCTCAGAGTTGTCCCAATCATAGGGCAAGGTTGTTGGGGGTATTTACGCTCCCGAATCCTTCAGTAGAAGGTTAAGAGCTGCCCTTTGTGTACAGGGGGATGGAGGAGAGATGTAAATTCCCAGTCACTTGTGGTTCTCTGTACAGGCAAAGTGATTCAGGCAGCCTGAGGGCAGTCCTCAGACAGAGACAGAGACACTGGCTGTGGGGAGCAAAAGCTCATGGGTATCTGGTGTGCTCCCAGACAGCAAAGGAATCCAAGGCGACATGAGCAGAGCTCTGACAGCGTATGCTACGTACACAGATGTGGGATGGCAGGACGTTAAGGGATTAACACGTTAAAGGTTCTATATCCTTCTATTCTATAGATAGGCTATTTGAGGATGAAAAAGGTTTAAAGGATGACAGAGAAAGCTGATGAGGAAAGTACAGAAAGATTGCTAGGCAACCGTGAAGACCCAGTTGACAGAGACCATGACCTTGTTATGGCACCAAACATTAATAGCATCAGATAGGACAGAAGGACAGTGGGGCAAAAGAGGGGTGATCAGCAAAGAAGAGGTGAAGGCTTTCAGCCTCTACTGTGTAGGAAAGGAACTTAGAACAGAGAAAGGGACTCGAGAGGGAGACGAGAGAGGGCTGTCAGCTCTAGCAAATTTGATGAGCAGGGACAGTAGGAGCAACTGGGTGGAAAAGTGCTGGAGGATGAGAAGGTGTGGTCACAGTGAAATGCCTGAATTTAAGATTTAAGAAATGAGGGAGTCCTCGGTGATGCAAGACCCAGGCTGTGGCCACGGCGTGGGTACCTTAGGTGAGGCAGAGGTGAAGTCACTAGAGTCGAGGAGGTCAAAGAAGTAACAGGCTGCTCTCCCTGCATCACTAGTGCCTGTGCCACCTGCTTCTCTTGCCTCTCCTCTCCTGTCCCAGGTGAAGTCCCAGGGGGACCAGAGGGAGAAGCCAGGACCAAGTTCTGACGCAAGCTGATGGCCCTTGACTACCACAACCCTGCTGGCTTCAACTGCAAAGATGAAACAAAATTTAGAAACTTTATTGTTTAGCTTGAAGACCAGAAAATCAGATACTACAAGATTGAAGACAGGTAATTTAAGAAACATCCACAGTGATGAATGACTGGCGGCACCCATCCAGCAGAGACTGGCCCAAGTTCTTTGAAAAATATCTCAGATATGTTAACTGTCTTTTGAAGATTCAAGATCAACAAGAAGCATTTGACTGGCTTCTTGGTTTAGCTGTCAGACTTGAATATGGAGATAATGCTGAAAAATACAAGGACTTGGTAACTGATAGTGCAACAACTGCTGACAATGCAACTAAAAATGCAGAGCCATTGATCAGTTTGGATGTAAATAATCCTGATTTTCAGTCTAGTGTAATAGCTTTGGCTAATCTTCTTCAGATTCAGCAGCAAGATGATTATCCGGTAACGCTTGAGGCAATCTGCATTTTGGTCCAAGCGCCTGATGCAGGATGCAGTTGCCAAAGCAAATCAAAAAAAAGAAGTCTTGCTTGTTGCTTTAGACAAACATATTCTTGGTTTTGACACAGGAGATGCAGTTCTTAAAGAAGCTGCTTAAAGACTGCGATTGCTGCCTATCGAAGAGCTCAGAGAGCTACAGACAAACATTAATGAAGCCATAGTAGCAGTTCAGGCAATTATTGCTGATCCAAAGGCAGACTGCCAACTGGGGAAAGTTCGAAGATGAACATTTTAGGATTTCAGCTTCTTACGTACAATTGGGAGCCATGTCACTCTGGCATGTGTTGGGAAATTGAACGTAACATTTTTGAGGGAGGGATCCCGGAAATTTCTATGTCCTAGAGAATTACTATAATTGCTTTCTCTTTAATAAAGTTCGAGGAAGAGGAGAAAGAACTAACAGGGTGGATGTGGAATGGGTCATCTGCATGGACACTGCAGACTCGCAGGAAGGCTCAGAGCCAGATGCTGAATACAGCAGCGCTAAGGGTAATAATAATCACCTTGCATTTACTGATGCTCGCTATGCCCGCGCTGTGCTGGGTGCTTCCATACGCTTTATCACATTTGATCCTCCTTCTCTTCCTTCAGGTCTCAGCTTAAATGGCACCTCCTCCCTAAACCCCCTCCCCAACACAGCCTCCCTTTCTTCTCTATTTCAAACCCTTCACAGAACACCTATCAATTTATCATTATTTTACTCTGTTTATTTTTTAGTTGAATGACTGTTGAATGCCAGTAACCACTCTTCAAGATAGTTACTATTACTATCCCATTTTATATATAAGAAAATTGAAGCTCAGATATTAATTTGCACAAGATGGCACAGCTAGTAATGGGCACAGCTGAGACAGGAACCCAGGAATACTTGACTCTAAACCCACATTCTCAAGGATACCACCTCCAAAAAATCTTCAGTGAGTGAGAGGGAGTGGCCAGAAAGTGGGGAGAGGACAGGGCAGAGGTGGGTATCCTGGGTTATATGATAGTTGAAGGACCAAGGGCCTTTAGGCTAGAAAATGTTCAGAAGTAGCCCTAGGAAGGAAGGAGGGCTCCTAAGCCACCTCCTGCTCCCAGGTATTTGAGAAGTAGGCAGTGAGCAGCGTCCTTTTGAGAGAGCTGCAGAGAAGACTCTCAGAGGAGGTCTGGGTTTCCATTAGGCAAGGAGGTAGAGGGGAATTTTCATGAAGAGCTCACCCTCCTAGAAGGGTTTGCTTAGCATGGAATGAGGCTCTGGAGGGTGCAGTGGGGAGCTTCAGAGAAGCAAAGGAGATTCTGAGGAGAATCCAGAGGAGGGTGTAAAAGAAGATAGACCCCGGAAAGGCTTATATTTTGACCATTAAACCACGGGCCAGAGGGTTGTGGGGGAGGTCAGGTTCTGACCACAACATTTGCAAAACATCAGTCCTAGCAGTCTGCTGAAGAACAGGGAAATTCAGAGCATTCTGGAAGAAGTCAGTCTTGTCCTAAGTTGGTTGTGCTTTTGAAGACAGTCTTATGCAGGCAAACCAACCAATCGTGTCCTTTGATGCACGAAAGTTTTTAAGTTTGATGTGGTCAAAATGGAGGTAATTTTTGACCACAATGAAGTAGTTAAGAGATCATAAACTATTACATTTAATGTTGGGAAGAAAATGAAGATTGCTTACGTGATTAGGAATATATTCAAGATAAACTGACATTTTCACTAAAAACTCTCTTTATTTGAAGTGTTGGCTTTGGGACTGAGTCTGAAATTACTCTAGACTGCATTCCTCAAGGGGCTCAGTGCAACGCTAGACCTTCCGCTCAACACAGTAAAGCTCACGTTATAAAACATGGTACAGACGTTATCATTAAGGAAAGGTAATGAATAAAACCATTATTAGTGGTTTAACAGTTGCCAATGGATTATGCACCCATTATAAATGTTATAAAACCCTTAAAGGACAAGATAAAATACTTTAGAAGTAATGCTAGGATAGAAAAAACAAGTTGGATATGAAATTGTATAAAGAGCATATTCATAAATTCAACAAAACGCATGCAAAACTGTGATGCTGAAAACTCTGACAGAACATTGCTAAAGGAAATTAAAGAAGACCTAATTAAATGGAGAGATATACCACATTCATGGAATGGAACACTCAATATTGTTGAGATATTTCAGTTACCTTAAAACCAAAAATGCCCATCATCAGTAATTCATTGTTTAAAATGGTGGTTTACATTTTATATTATTAATGTCTGAAAAGTATAAGCATTTTATTGGGACACTGTATGTTGTTGAATTTTGTTGATTTCAGGGTAGGCTCCACAAAAAAAGTTGTTTCTGAACCTGCAAAGGAGATGACCAGACCCTGGATTGTGGGATTTTTACTGAGTGAATATTCCAGCAGTGAGCAAATTTCTTTGACTCCTCTTTAGCTATAAAAGTCGAGGACTAAGCTTCAGCTTCAGAGGTAGAAGCAATATGTGAAATTGCCTCTCAAGAGAGTAGTAATGAAATAGTTCCTAAGACAAGAAATCTTCAATTTCCCCACCTGTAAAATGAAAGTACTTCCTGTGCTCCTGGGTGATAGAGCTGTATTACCGACAAGCTTAGATCTCTAGATTGCTGGAAAGTTAACTATTCACATGAAAGCCATTAACAGTTCTCATGCTCTGGGGCACTCCAATAGTAAGAGCCAAGTTGAAGAGGGGGAACCAGCCAGTAAGGGAGACTGAAAGGAATGTCCACTAGGATGGGAGGAAAACCTCTGTGGTGTCCTAGAAACCAAGTGAAGAAAGTATACTAGGTACTGTATTAACCAGGATCCAATCAAAGAAAAGAAAACCAGTCTAGGTATTTCAAACAGAAGAAATTAATGAAGGAACTGGCTACAAGAGTATTAGGAAGGATGGAGGAGAAAGAGGAGTGGGGAAATTACTCAAAGGTTATTAACTTCAGGAAACCATCACCACTCTGGGCTAGAAGAATAAAAAATGTTACCGAAAGCTCAGGGCACAGTGTCCCTAAGGCTCTTGTTGGCGGTTGGTGCCCAGTTGGCTGAGCAGGAACCCAGGAGCCTGCACTTCGAAGTTGTTGCTCCTGTCCCTGCAGACACCACCCAGATCCATTGTTACCATTGTCTCTAGAGCCAATGCTGTCACCACCACCAATGCTGTCATCTCAGCTGTGTTGCTGTCACTGCTGCCAAAGATGCTACCAGAAACCAGAGGCAGGAAGGTTTCCAGTATAATCCTTCCATCTTCCAGTATCTCACCAGTGCCTTTCATTGACAAAACCTAAACAGAAACCAGCTAGCATGGGAGTCTAGAAAATATCATTTGTCTCTCTCAGATACATAGTAGAGCACAGAGGGGCAGATAGGTACTAAGAGCAATAGACAAATGACTAGCACAGTCCACGCCTTTGGTTACTCAGCCTCCATTCTCATTCTTCTCTCTATACTTAACTTTCCTACTACAACAATCATAACAACTTCATGCTTTCCTCCCTAAGAAGATGCAATAATCCTTCCCACCCTGTACCCCCAAAAAAGTGAAATGTAAAATCTATCTCCATGTTCATCTCTGCGTGATGCTAAACCCTCTTTTAGACCAATCACAATCCCATCTGGATATTCTGTAATTCAGAGACTAAATTGAAATTAGTTGCCAACACCGCTTTCATCTTATAACGTTCTTTTTCATAAACCGTTCATAGCTCTCCATTATCTTCAAAGTCAAAACCCCATAGCTTGGAGTTTAAGGACCTACCCAGTTAGACCAAACTTCCTTTCATAACTTTTTACTACTCAGACTGATCCATGTCTCATTCCCCAGACATATCTTGTGTATTTCTCCCTCTAAGCCTTTAAGTTTATCATTTCCCCCACGCAAAATGCATTCCCCATCTCTTCTTCTTTTCTACCTCCTCTGCTCCGAGCCTACCCATTTTCAAGTCGTGGTTCTGGTTCAATTCCTCCACACAACTCTCTCACAGAGGCACCAGCCTTCAGGACTCTCTATTCTCTGAATTCCTCTAGGCTATGCCACTAACAGGGACCAACTAGCCTTCCAGAGCACCGAGGGGCATATTGCCTCCCACAGAACCATTTACTGGTTGATACTTGGCTGTGGAGGATAGGCAATATGAATTGGCGATGCATGCCTGGCTACTAATTTGAAGCCCAAAGCACTTACTGCCCAACATCAGCTTCCTGCAGTCTCCCAGAGGCCCCACTAAGGCTCTGCCTGTTTGATTCTGAATTACAATTTGAGGCAGTTCGTCAATTCTGCATAGCAAACTTTAAAGGAGTTCAGTTGGCCTCCAGAGACACTGTTCTCAGATTACTACAAAGCTAGCAACCTGGTTGAGGGTATTAGTAAATCACACAGCTTGCCAGCTAATATCAAGTCAAAGACAGAAGCAAACAAAACAGTTTCAAGGCCTGTTGCTCAACAGAGGTTGTGTGCCCTGAGAAAACTTGCAAGACACTGAAGTGCAAAGACCCGGAACTAAACAAATTTCTGCTTAGCCATCCTGAGTCTGTTTCTGATGAAGTTTAGAGAAAGAAAAGCAACTATAAACCTTTCTTCTCTGGGGAGATTTTAAGATATGGTTCACAATGCTAACTCCTACCAACAAAGAAAATAGTTCATAAACACAAAGGGCAATTAACAAAGGACCTAGAGACGTGGTTCTTGTCCCAGTTCTGCCCTGAACGGAGCATGTCCCCTTCCCTCTCTGGAGCTCAGCTTCCTCATGTGAAAAACAAGGAAATTGAACTAAATAACCCCCAAGGGCCCTTCCAACCATAAAATCTGAAGACATCCTTAATGCTTTCTATTCTGCTTGTTACGAAACATCCAGTTATTCATTGAAGACTGTCAATCATCTATTGTCCTCAGGGCTACCACATATGACTGTTCGGATTATACACAGAACAAATCCAGAGGGCACCATTCGCATTGTAGTGTGTGTAAACTATATCCCTGTATTGAATGGTGCACAACCTGACCATCCATACACAGCAGGCTTGATTATGCTCTTCGATTTTGAAAATATTTAAGGTTTATCTTTTATTTTCTTAATACCTATTGTTTCCTGACCTTGGGTCCCTACCAGCAGAGATAAAACTACATTAATATCTAGTACCGAGCAAAGTAATCTCTTTTGATTAACTCTTAATTATGGACATGAAATGAGGATAGTAACATTAATACACTATATTTACTGATCACTTACTATGTGCAAGACGCTTTACATATGTTACTACTTTTAATCCTTATGAAATCCTATGAGGCATAAATTTCTCATCCTTAACTTTGGATGAGAAAGTTGAGGCTCAGGGGGGACTAAGTTAACTGCCCCAGGGTTCATAGCTATAGCTAAAAAGTGGCTGAGATAAGGATTCAAACCCACCTCTGACTCCAAAGCTCCTTGTCTTTCCACTCCACTATCCGTTACACTTTCTATATGCTCCATAATCCCCCTACAAGCTTGACAGTCTTGAGACATCTGTGAACAAGTGCAAACAATTAGAACATTCAATTAACAGGAAACAGCAGTAATGTAGCACAAACACACTGGAAAGAAAGTCAGCCCTCGCCCAATTCCATCGCGATGTTGTCACTAACTAAAGATGTGCTTAGCTCTCTGTGGGCCCCATGTTCTCATCTGTCAAACAGAGAGATGTCTCGGGACCTTTTCAGGATATTCAAGTAGCATCAATTCCTATAGCAATGAGCATTTAATTATTTGCGTTCTCTGAGTTTTTATTAGTCTTTTTGGCCCAACTAAACTCTTTTGCCATTCTTGTCACCACTTCAGCCATTAAGGAAAGTTCCTTGTGGTCCCTGCTTCTTTGTGCCTCCCTAAGGGTACTCCTGGACTCCCCCCTCACCCTCAAGACCCCAGGTCTGAGAGCTTATTCCATGTAGACTCATAGGCTTTGAGACACATGCTTGTTACCAGAAGCCCTTATTTCCTTCCATCTCACGTCTCCAGGTTTTTTTGGATTTTCCCAATGAATCATGTGTTGCACACCTAAAAAAGGGTTGACATTAGAATTGTGGGCAAACAAGGGGTGGGTGAAATGGAAGAACGGATGCTGTCGGCTCTTTCAAGACCTTGTCCTTTGACTCAACATCACTCAGCAGAACTAGAAGATGTTCTAATGAGCAACCACAAAAATTTCATATCCAGACCACGTTTTCCTCTCAACATGAATAATTAAATCATCATGGCTAGAATTATGAGGGTGGAGGGAAATGGAGATCTAAATAATATTAAAGCATGTGAATTATTCCCCAAGTAACAGTTAATATTTTCTGCTCCATAACACTTGGCTACAAGATGTAATCTTTTCTTAATTTTTCCACATCAAATTATATCTGGCTCTGAACTCTTATCTACTTGGATGGGAAAAATATAATCTTAGTTATGTGTAGAGGCCAGCATCCTTCCCAGAATGGTACGTGGGTATCAGGGCGCTCAAGCAATCCCAAAATCTGCGGGAAGGTTCTCTGATCCTCAGTCTGTCAAGGTTGACACTAAGATGCTCTTTACCCAAGACCATACGGCCCATTAAAAGATGATAGTTAAATGATAGATAGGCCCATTAAAAGTTCATATCATCCAAAGATGATAGGCCCATTAAAAGTTCATAGCATCCACTCCCTCCACGCCCAGCTCAACCATGGGGACCTCATCACTCCCGTCATGCTTAGCATTTAAACCTCAGGGTTCCAGGAACCACCTCCAACAGAGGAGCTGCCCCTCCTGGAAGGCTGCATGGTGGATGGGCACTGTTGTCTGCTACTCTTGTGACCACCACAGCCACCAGTGAGAATTCTCTGTAGTCCCTGCTTCTTTGTGACTCCAGCCCTGCTGTCTAAGTCCAGAAAAGGGGCATGTGATTGGTGAAGCCTAGATCACAGGTTCACACCTTAGCTGCAAGGGAGGCTGGGAAAACCAGTGTCGGGCTCTACAGCATCCATACTGTGAGGTAGGCTCTGCCTCTCACTGAGACACGTAAAGTGGGGAATTCCCCAAACAGACCATAGCCAGGAAAAAAGAATGACAAATGTGTACACAGCTTAACCTGTGGCTCTTGGGGAAACCCCTCATCCTCTCTTATTAGCCTCAGCTTCCTCAACTGAAAATAAGGATAATAACACCTGCCTCACAGCGTGAAGCCCAGGGGACAAAGGCCAACCTGGGCGATCCAGCCTCTGTGTCTCAGGGGTGTGGGCTGATGGCGAAAGAAGAGACTGAATCCCGGAGAGGGATGAGGAACATGACTGGAGGTGACAACGTTTTGATCATTAAGGCAAGAACCTAAGCTGAAATGCCCCCAAAAAGTGACAATGATCCAGAAGTCATTCCTTTCCAACAGTTATCACTGAGAAAAGAGAATTCTCACAAGAGTCAGACTTAAAAGGAAAAAGAGAAAGAAAAAGATGTTCTAAAGTGGGACACTGTGCACACAGAGCCAGGAGGGGGAGGAAAGTCAAAACACAGGGCAGTCCTGAAACAGAGGTCATCTTGCCCTGAATCAGGATTGGCTAACAGCTTCAGCTTCTCACCAGGGCTCCAAGTCACTTGATCCTCCCACATGCCAGTGGGCTGTGTGTTAACCAAGTCACACAGTTGCAAGTACAGCAGCAGAGAAACTCAACAACTAAATCTCTGCATCTTTGCTTTTCACGCCTGAGGTCTCCCCATGTGAAGAAAACCTAATGTGGTTTTTCCCCATAACTGTGTGCCTCCTCTCATGTTCCAGATATGAAAATACAGAACACCCGGTGATGGAATGGGTTCCAAAAGAAATTGTTAAAAAACTTGTTCCACAACTGGAAGGACCCACAACTAAAATATACAACTATATACTGGGGGGCTTTGGGGAGAAAAAGCAGGGAAAAGAAAACTTTACCAGCATTTTTAATCTCTAAATAGTTTGAGCTTAAAGATAAGAATAATAAAACTATGAAATATGAAATATGTATATATGTTTTAAACACCCTGCACAATTCTATAATTTTACTATATATTTATATGCCTTATATATAGAGAGAGAGAATTTGTGTACATATACGTATATATATAAACCATTGAATTGTACAGTTTTACTAAATTTTACTGAAAATCATTGAATTGTACACTTAACAATGGGCGTATTTTATGCTATCCAAATTATACCCCAATGCAGATGTCTTTAAAAACCACCCTAGGGGCCAGCCCCATGGCCGAGTGGTTAAGCTTGAGGGCTCTGCTTCAGCGCCCCAGGGTTTCACTGGTTCAGATCCTGGGTGCGGACCTAGCACTGCTTGTCAAGCCATGCTGAGGTGGCATCCCATATAGCAGAACCAGAAGGACCTACAACTAGAATATACAACCATGTTCTGGGGGGTTTTGGAGAGAACAAAAAAAAAAAAGGAAGATTAGCAACAGATGTTAACTCAGGGTCAATCTTAAAATAAAAATTAAAAAAATAACACCACCCTACATTTGAAAGCAAACTGCACATTAGCCAAATATATTTGCCATGAAAATAACAGCAATAGAGGTATCTTTACAACATAAAGAGCTCTTCAAAATTCTGAGAAAAACATTTACATCCCAATGGGGAAATGGGCAAAAGAAGAAATAGAAACCATCAATAAACATCAGAAAAATATTCTTCACTAGCAATCGAATAAACACAGTAGGAAGTAAAAGTTTTAATCTATAAATATACTGCAACTTCCTTTTTTTAAGATAGTATCCAGAATTGGTGAGAGTGGCCAATCCAGGCTGATAAAACTACTTGATCTCCTAGAAAACGCCTCCCTTCCTAACCAAGGTTGAATTGAGTCCTGCTGCTTTGTGTTAATTTCCATCTATTACACTTTGCTGGTGCTGACTATTTACACGACTGGACCATCCAGTTAGATTTCAAACTCCTGGGAACTGTGGCTATTCTTCAGTGTATTCTCAGTCCTAGCACAGAACCTGGCACAGAGTAGCAACTCCACATGTTTCTGTGTTTAATGAATAAATAAGGAGAGTGAGGGGCCGGCCAGTGGTGCAGCGGTTAAATTCGCATGTTCTGCTTCTCAGCGGCCCGGGGTTCCCTGGTTCGGATCCCGGGTGTGGACATGCACCGCTTGGCAAAAACCATGCTGTGGCGGGTGTCCCACATATAAAGTAGAGGAAGATGGGCACGGATGTTAGCTCAGGGCCAATCTTCCTCAGCAAAAAGAGGAGGATTGGCAGTAGTTAGCTCAGGGCTAATCTTCCTCAAAAAAATAAATAAATAAATAAAAATAAGGAGAGTGAAATT